TTTAGCAAGTCCATCAATCTCCATTCAAAATCATCAATCGAATTTTGATATTCAGTGACAAATAACTGGCTCAAAGGAGAATAAGCGAGTGCTTCAAACTGGGAGAATAAACGCAAAAAATGTCCGGAATCAAAGACAAAAGTAATCTGCCCGGACGTGTTCTGTAAACACAACGTTCAATGAAGCAAACAAAAAGCCTCCAATAATCAAAATTGAGTTATTATTATGAAGAAAAGTCACATTAATAAAGTCCAAACAATACAATCAACATATACAAATGACTTATATACAAGCAAACATGAAATCGAACATAACTGAATTCAATTCAAACTCCTATGGAGTGCATATTCATAAGTGATAAAAAAAATCCGAAACTGAGAAAATCTTCAGTAAGATGAGGAGCAATTTTTCAAAAAAAAAAGAAAGAAATCAACGTTACTGCTACACAAGTTCACGTCAAACAATAAAGATAACGCCACAAAAAAAGTAATAATCCAGTAAACAAGACGTATGCTTGAGATCATTAACTAAAGGCGAGCAGCGATAGAAAAATAGGAAATGGAAGAGATTTTATCTCCTTCCGAAATTCTACAAACGATCACCGATGAAAGTTTTCGCGATTACGTTTGTGACTGCTCCATTTTGATGGAATTGGCTGATGGAAATGATTATGAATCGCACAAAAATTCTGTGCGTTTTGCGAAGACATTTTGTTTTGATTTGGTTGTAAACGAACAATTGTCATAGCGCCATCTTATTTTCACTGATAAAAACATCAGCAGAAACAACATTTACAAATCAGTCATCATCTACAGCTAAATCATTTGCTATTCTAAGGAAATTAATCGCTCTGGGCAGTGGATTCCTTTCGGATGGCTTCCGATCGTATTCCCATAACATGAAATCGCTCGTCGACGCCTCTGCATCGAATACCTGCTGCTCACCGCCTATAAATAAAGTGTTTATCTCTTACGGTTCGTGCTGGATAAAAAACTGATCAATTGGATAACGAATTGAATCGAAATGGCGCTCCGTCTCACCTTTATTATTGAAACGTTCTTTCACAACGAACATCTTA